ATGAAAACATAGTTTAACTAAACACGTTTAGGTGTGAATGGGGTATATGCTTCTCTTGTTACTCTACATCATATTTATTAATAATGAACTTCTTTTTCTCCTCTTTGTTCGTCTATGCTTTCATTGGCAATTTACCTCAACAATTTACGCTAAATTTATAAATRAATAACTTATATTCTCCATTCTTTATTGTTACAACACACTTATTTTAATCGCAATCGCGTTCTCGATTGTCCTAAAAAATCTTCGTTCTAAGTACTTGAACACTCGAGCGATCAATCACAATGAGCCACTTGCCAAAACTAAAGCCTTCTCATCTTTACATCTGTGATCAACTACAGCAAGAWTCAGCCAACATGGAACAGCATTCATCTTATCTCCCTGGCGTTAAAGGATACCATGAAATACAACTGAAAGATGATGGTCTTGGGAAATATAAAATCGCCCATAATGTGGTGAGTATGTTGTTGTAGTTTCAGTCCTACGGCATCTTAGACCCGCAAAAGTAGTTTTGTTCATTAAATATAATGTAAAGTTTACTAAACTTCTATAGTTTTAAGTAACAGTCCACGGAATTAATAAGAGCTTAACGTATTTTCCAAATGTATTGTTGGTAAATCATCCACTTTCTGAAAAATTCTGTTCAGTACAATATTTATGAAGTGAAAATTTTCTTTTGTAGTGTGCAATTTCTATAAAYTAAATTAACAATGCATTAGAAAATTTTTTGACATAGAAATATAGCGGGGGAAAATCATGTATATTTAAGATTTTTGTTGTTGGTATTTCCCTTCTGTTCTATTGGGATAATTTCATGGAAATAGTAAAAACAATTGCGGGAGTTGCCAAATAAACATGTCGCTTTATCAGTTATACRATGGGTGTGCTAAGCGAGGGACGGGAAATTGGCAGTAAACTTTTTAAGAATGGTCGTAGCCCTCCTCCTTTTACTCAGTAAGAAATTTAAGACCATARGAAACAGCTTCTGTCAAAATAAAAAGATTTGACCCTGTAATAAAGTTTATTTTAAGTTCATAAACCAAAACGTCTTATGAATGGCACTTTAGTGGTTTCCGTTATAAGGAATGTGAATGGAATTTGCGGGAAGCCATTTCAGAATTCTGTTCCATTGCACTAATGAAAAAATACAATTACTTCCACAGGAAACAAAAGATAGCTCCCGATATCCCAAAACATCAGTAAGTACATTCTATTCCTCTTTGCGGGAGTTGACTGGAAAGAGGGTCTCCATGGGAACGACAGAGAGAGAGAGAAAGGGGAACAAAGGCTGCGTTTAAACCCTTATCGGGCGATTTTTTAACTGGTTAATCTACTTTTTAGGGTACTCTGTGATCCTTGAAATTTGTTACATGAAAAAGGGTAGGAAAACAGTTAATTTAGCATTTTCAAAGGTCTAAAAAGTAGTATTTTTTAAATCTCAAAATAATTTTGCAGGAGGGAAAAAGAAGCCTTAACAGCATTACCCAAAAGAAAGTAAGTGATTGCTTTACTAGTAGCCATTTTAGCTAGGGAGGGGTGGGGTAGGATTGAATGGTAGGGAATTCTTCACCAATAAATTAATTTTGCGAATTTTGAAAAGAGCACGAAATTGCCAAAGGGTCGCGAAAATAAACTGATTTCGGGATTTTGAGAAAACCGTGAAATTAAAGAGACGCGAAAATGAATTGATTTCGCGATTTTCGGGATTTTGAGAAAACCGTGAAATTAAAGTGTCGCGAAAATGAACTGATTTCGCGATTTTCGGGATTTTGAGAAAACCGTGAAATTAAAGAGACGCGAAAATGAATTGATTTCGCGATTTTCGGGATGTTGAGAAAACCGTGAAATTAAAGTGTCGCGAAAATAAACTGATTTCGCGATTTTCGGGATTTTGAGAAAACCGTGAAATTAAAGTGTCGCGAAAATGAGCTGATTTCGCGATTTTCGGGATTTTGAGAAAACCGTGAAATTGAAGTGTCGCGAAAATGAACTGATTTCGAAATTTTCGGGATTTTGAGAAAACCGTGAAATTAAAGCGACGCGAAAATGAACTGATTTCGCGATTTTCGGGATTTTGAGAAAACCGTGAAATTAAAGAGTCGCAAAAATACGTTTTGCAAAAACTCTTTCTCGAAAATAGAGTCATGATGTCATCATTCCTCTTATTTGTCAATTATTAAAGAAAAATCAAATTTAATGACCATTTAAAACCAGGAATAATATWTTTTTACTTTTGAATCAGTAAAGCACTGAAAACTATTGATCCAGATAAACATCGAATGATTACAAAGTGACRCGAATTATTTACTTTTAGTTGTAACGTTAGTAAAAGGGTAAAATTAGTTGATTAAAGAACTTCTGTATTTGGAGAAAAAAAATGATTTATTTAATTGGGTCACGAAATTAAAGCGACTTTATAGAATATGATTTTTTCGCAAAGTCGCAACATTTAAGTGTTTGCGAAAATGTTATGTAAGAAGGTAATATTCATTTCCCGTATATCTAARATAATAGAGAGTTTTAGATTGACTTACTTTCCTTCCCGCAAACGGCAAACGTGACCGCGTTTTCATAGTTTTCGTGTATTTTACTTTACTTTTTACAAACCTTCTCACCAAAAATACTCTTTTGTTTTTCTACTACTTGGACTTTTTTGCGATTCTTTTTCAGTAATTTAAAAGAATTTTTTACTGGTCAACTGACGTTTCACGTTTGCCGTGAACGTAAATCTAAAACTCTCTAATAAATTATACTTAGAATATGATTTTTTTGCAAAGTCGCAAAATTCAAGTGTTTGAGAAAATGTTATTATATCTAAGATAATAAGTTATACTTACTCAAATAATACTACGGCGAAGAACTGTATTAGTCTGTAAAACGTTATCTCATCAACACTCTTGCAATACACTCGCTAAAACAGTCAAAAGGTCGTAAATAAGTAAAATTAATAGCTAGATAAATTCATCAATTTAGAGTTATTACAACTTGAAATATATATGAACTTGACCAAAAAAATATAAATTGTAATTGTGGGTTAAAAAATAGTTTTACCTGGGCATCAATGTGCTTAGCAAATGAAAGTCGACCACAGGAATGCTAGAAGTAATATGAAAACACAGATTCAATCATTGGGGATGGATTCAAGGATTTTCAGGGAGGGGTGCTGTGGACAATGTTAACCCAGGGCGGGGTGCACCCCTTAGAATCAAAAGGGGAAAAAACATTATTTCGTATTGGTTATCTTTAAAGTAGGGGCACAAAGTCAAACCACGGAGAGGTGCACACCCTCTGTACCCCTCCTCTGGTTCCTCCCCTAATCATTTTTTGGGTCACTGACGGTCTTTATAGGTTGATATTTAGTTATACTCCTGGTTTTAAGAAACTTCCCCAACGAAGATATAAGCTGGTTATATACCTTATGCCTCAGTGTATATGAGATATATTAACTCTTGGCTTTGCCTGGGGTTGATATATCTCATATCCACTGAGGAATAAGGTATATATAACCTTTRCATAACAGTGTCGTAGCCTGAGTCAGGGACCGCGGAGCAGTTTTTTGATTGGGGGGGCTCAATAGTGACATTGTATGGCAAGGTGGGGGAGCTGAGTTTAGTGAAAATGTATTAAAATTTCACAAAAAGTGGGGGGGCTAAAGGCTCCCCCAGCACCCCTGGTTCCGCCGTCCCTATGAGTACCAGAGTTGGTTGGGCGAGCACACATGTTTTGGCGCAAAAATTCCAGCCAATCCAAAGGTAGCCCAACAAAACAGAAAACAAGGAAAATTGAAGCTTTTATAGTCAAAGATTTTTTGGAAGGGGGGAGGGGGGAGGGGGGGCAGCCCACCTTGCTACGCCAAAGCCAGTTGACATTGAAGAAAAAAACAAGCTTTACTTAAGATGGGATCAATAAGTAGGTTTTACAGCAATGTTGTAATTTATTTCTTACTTGACAAACAACTCCAAATTTTGCTTTTAATTCTTGAGATATTTCTTCACTGTATAAAAAAACATGTACACACGTCTTACAATGTGAGTAAAAAGAACAAGGAGAGACAAGGAGAGAGAGGAAAGTAGTAAAAATAGTACACAAAAAATGGGTCCTTACTCCCCTAGCCTACTAGGCAGATGCCCTTAAGTTCGTCACACAGCGAAAAGAGAAACGTAACGTGCATTATTCATGACAGCCCTGATAAATCAGGTCAGAAATAAATACTGAATCTTCCCCAAGGCTTTGTTAGAATACTGGCCGGTCAAAGGTTATGTCTGGCCAAAATTGGCACTTGTCCAGCCAAATGTTCATTAAAGGCCATTCCTCTTGACCAGTCACATTGGATGGCCACATATTGGTCCAATATGTCTGGTCACTATGCATGGTTTCAATCCTTTTTAAGTTACTATTATTGCTATGTCACACAAGCTCAACAAACTAGCTAAAATGTCACAGAATTTAAAATTCTAAGWGTAGAAATTGATTAACTGTTTTGTGAGAAATTTAAAAGAAATTTGCCTCTTATACCTCGTTATACTACTATTTAAAACAAATACTGTGTACTTCTTTYTGAGACAAGTTTTTGATTTCACTTAGAAAACAGATGCAATGGTGACAGTGTGCATATTGGTTCAATATTGCTATTGTCTAAGTTGGAACCATGAATTTTTTAACATCATTAATATAATTTTAATTTTTGGCAGTTATTTACTGTTTCATCTAGTAGCAATGGTTAATCATAAAAAAGGCAAGCTGACTGTTTACCCTTTTCTGTGTGTTTTTGAACTACGTATATACTGCTGTATATAACTACTTATTACTATTTCTGAAAATAGCATATTAAACAATATATGGATCGACAGAAATAAATATTTATAAACTAATTTAGATAACTGCATTTATATTGGTTATTATAACCTCAAGAATAATTAAATAAAATYTAGTCTTTTGTCTTTTTCTTTTTCTTACCTTGATATGAATATTTTATGGACAAAATCTTGGATAAACTCRTCACTTTCTCGTTCAAAGAGCTCGCACTCATCTTCATAATCCTCTGAGAAATCTAGTGAAAGACAGCAACTTAGATGTAACATGAACAGAAGTATAAAGACTTGGAATATATGTATACGGTAATCAGTAAACCTATTCCTTGAGAATTTTCATTGTTTGCTTTGGTAATCAATGAAACCAGTTTTTGCATAAAATTAAAGTTTTCAACATAATATATTGGATTTAAATAGCCATTTATTTTTATTTCGACTAGTGAGACAACAGTTTCCTAGGAACAGCTAGTGGTTGCCTGGAAACAAGGAACCCTTAAAAAATATTAAATCACTATAATGAACCATATCACTCTTAACCTTTTAAAATTTGAATAAGTAAAAACATTTAGAAAACTAAGGCATTATGTATGCAGACAGTAGTGAGTGTGGAGTTAATGACAATGTTCTGGTTTTAAAACAAATGTATAAATTAGATTATGACACGATTTTGAAGGTCTTCGTCACTTTGGGTACATCATGCAGCGAGCTCTTTCTCTTTACCTCTTCAAACATTACTACGTATAATTCTTTGGCACATTTTTCGAGTTTCTTTTTATTTTGAATTTACTCTTACTGTATATTTTTGGTACTATGACTTTACCTTTTTTTCCTCGCATGGTTATCGTTAATAATGTTTGAAAACTTTGAGTAGCTTGTAGTGCTTGTTATCTAGTTATTCAATTCAACATTTTCGTCTGCAATAAGATTTCTCCCGATATTAATCCTGCAGCTGTATAAACTACTTCTCGCAATTTCTGACAGTTTGACAACTTGTATGTTCAGCGAGCAAACAAAAACATGTTCAACTGAAGAGCACTACACCACACGCACCACACGTCATAGTTTTTCACTTCTAAACCAAACTACATTATGCATCATACTTAACTTATGGAAGTAAAATATAAAAGTTTGACAAAGAAAAATTTTGCTAAACAATTCGACTTTTTCGCTGTTCGAAGGCATTCTTACGCAACAGAAAACACCGCATTGCTCTTACTCAGTAGGCAAGAATTTCCAATTTGTTATAACCAAGTTTAATATACRTATCATTTAACTCATCAATTATTTCTAAGCTCCAGGAACATTATTTCAAAGGATGGACATGTGATGTGGTTATATAAAACAAATGGTGATCATTCAAAATATATTAAAATCGAAGCAGTAAACCCAAAATATTTCTAATTCAGTTTAAAAAATTAAGTTAATACCTTGGTCACTTGARCTACAGGAACTTTCCATCGTATAAGTTGGTTTACAGATCCTAAACTTTGATATCCTTCATCACCGGAATGACTTCCATGTTATTTTTAAATGAATGTGTGGTCTGTTGTTTATGAGAGCTGTATCTCTCGATTTTACACTCCGATCTCTCCCCCCTACATCTATTGTATCACTCGAGCAACACACCATGCAGAGAGGTATGTTGTTCATTCGTCCTGAATTCAAACAGGTGATTAAATCCTGATAATACCTACGTGACAACATTAGTTTTGCATATTTTACCCTCTCACTCAAGAGCAACACATCCCACAATGCCGTTCAGGAATCTTCTGGAATTTGGATATCCCCATGTATGACGTAAACAACTCTCAAATGCCGTCACAAACTTATTATATTTTATGGTTAAAGTCGCAAAAGAAAAAAATCTAGACTTGAATTCTTTTACATACACATATTTATATATTTTTATATATTATTTTTTRTATATTTTAAGTCGGTTCCGAATTCTGAATACTTTAAAGGTATTTCCGAATTTGTTACGGAAATTGTTCGGAATATTGATTTGGTCGCCATTCGACCGTAAAAAGTTCTTAAATAATTTGAATAAAAAAACCTTAGCCATAAGTCACGACTACGAAACCAAACAGAGGAATTATACACATGTCGGACATTCTCCTACTAGTTCAAATCCATATTGCTCCTTTTTTGTCAGTTTTTCAAAGATACTCCGTAATGTTTCCGAAAATGTTACGGAATGTCATCGATTATTATATATTCAGAAAAAAGTTACTTCAACAAGATCATAATGTTAAAAGTGAAATTAGTTAAGCGCCTGAGCAGCAGTAATGTAGGCTTTGGTTTTTGTTAAAAGTTTTTGAAACAAGATTATTTTGAGCAAGTTTTCCGAAAATGCTACGAGATTTTATTGATTTATTATCGATTAGCAAGTCAGAAATCCCAGAATTCTTTGTGTGTATGAAAACCTCCTGGCAACGCCAGTAAAACACAGTCAAGCAAGAAATAAAGATGGTTGGTTTGAATTTTGACTTCCAGTAGACGTTGATTTAACCTTTAAAAAGAAACCACAACGACCTAGCAAAGCTCTAATGACCTTTCTTGATATTTGCAGTCTGAAGTAGAAGAAACTCTAAAGAGAATTCAGTCCCACAAGGGTGTTATTGGGATAATCATYGTCAACCAAGAAGGTAGGGCATCTTGTATCTCATTGTTTTGTTTTATTTTGGCTTAACAAATTAATGAAAAATCTTGACTTTGCTTGCTCATGACCTCAGTTTGTGTTTATTTTAGGTATTCCTATTCGTACGACCCTTGATAACTCGACTACAGTGCAGTATGCTGGTTTGATTCATCAACTAACAGCCAAAGCACGAAGTACTGTTCGAGATATCGACCCTCAGGTATTCAATATTAAACAATCGCTAACCATTTTTTAAACAAGCTTARAGCACACTTCAATTCAGCATTAAGCTTTAAGACGCAAGCCTTTGAGCATTAGTGGTTGGGGAAGCGAAGCGATTGAACAAGAATAAATACCATATAAAAGGTAGCAGTTCTTAAACAACACAAGCTAGCTATRTTGGTCGAGGTATAACACTCAGCCTTATGTGCTGTCAGTGCCCATATAATTTTTTTAATGCTCCAATATGTTGAGAGTTCTTGAATAGTGATTGCTAACCAATACTAGCCACCATCTCTTAGCTTTTTGCATATTTAAGTACCTATCTTACATTATCGTGGCAACGTCAATGTAGCGAAGGAGGTGCAATGTGTTTATTATGATTGACATCTCAGATAGAGAAAACAAAAGCACTTGCATGTGTTTAAGGGAATCAAGGGGGTATAGTTGCCTCTTACCTGTAGGGTCTTGGGTGTGATTTGTAGCCTTGACAACATGTGAGTAGATTTTGTTGAGGTGTAGTTGCCTCTTACCTCTAGGGTCTTGGGTGTGATTTGTAGCCTTGACAACACATTAGTAGATTTTGTTGTGTGTCTCCTTTGATTCGAGGGTTTTTCTCAGGTCCTTTTGTAGAGGGAGGAACACAGGAGAACCCAATAAAACCCTCAAAGTACAGGAGAGAACCAAATAGTAATTGTACTCAATACAATATCAAGCCCGTGGGGCTTCAAACCCRGGTTGCATTCATGAGAACCAAGCGCTTGTTTTGCATTTAGTATGTTTGTGGGGAGGAGGCATCAGTACATTCGTCATGGACATGACAACCTTAAAGCCTGGTTTTCACTAGCGATGCAAGAGCAAGAACAAGCACAAGCACAAGTAGTGAAAAYGAGACACAAGCACAAAAGGTTTTTACTAGTACAACCAAGCGAAAGAGCAAGAAAAGGATTTTTTTGATTGCTCTTGCGCTTGCATCATCGTGGTTTTCACTATGAAAAAAAGGTCTCTTGCCTTTGCTTCTGCACTTGTGCTTGAGTCGCTAGTGAAAACCAGGCTTAAGTAAACTTAAATTACTGCACATGATCATCCAGCCAATCAGAGTGCTCAGACAAGGTGCCAGTAAATATTCATGCATGTAGTTATGATTCATATTCCATTGAATATGATTATACACCATGGAAAATAAAAAGAACCTGTCTCTTAATTTTGATTCCAGAATGATCTTACATTCCTGAGGATTCGTTCTAAAAAACACGAAATCATGGTRGCACCTGGTAAGTGCAATAAATAAAGCTCCTGTTTCATAAAAGGAGGTTGTTTTGAATATACTGTTACTATGGATGTCAGCGAACTGCTGAACCTGATTAAATAAAAAACAATGTATAGTTCCGGAAATTATCTATACCCCCATGGAGGAATTTTTTTAACCTACCCCCCCACTGCCAGAAATTCCAATTTTCTCCCCTACAAACTCTTTGATTTTGTTCTTTCTCTGGCCCCCCTACTCATCAGAAATCCCAAATTCCTCTGTTGGGTGGGGTGTTTCTGGAACTACATGATCGTACAAAACCATCCAAAGAAGTAATATGTGATTTTGTTTTTAATTTCAGACAAAGAGTACTTCCTGATTGTAATCCAAAACCCCAATGTCCAGTAACCACTTTTCCAATAAATTGTAAAATATTTGTATGTAATCGTTTGATTCTGGAAAAATAATTATGTTGTATATATACTATGATATTATAGCATATCTGATGGTTTATATGGTTGGACATTACTTGTTTACTCCGTTTACACTTTCCTTTAGTCTAAAGTRTTTGACCCTTTTGGGTAGATGTAGCATGAACACTGATTTAGTCTGTAAAACAAAATATGATTGCCTTACCTTCCATAGGATTTTTGGCGTACTAACAAAGGGGCTCTTGTACTGTAGTTCATAATTGCAGAAAATAAACAAAATATTGATGTGCATGTCAATTTGATGTTGTCCATTGCTCTTACTTTTGCGACATAGCTGCAAGGTACAGTAGACACCCACTGGTGTCTYTACAGTAGACACACATGCAGTAGACACTCACTCACTGTTATAACAGGACAAAAAAATTACAGCTGAGCATCAGACAAAGTCCGACCAGAATACTGGAACTTGTCTGGCCAAATCTTTGCCTTGCCAAAAACAAGGTACAACTGAGCTAAAACTTATTTGGCCACTCGTCATGACTAGCCATTATTTTGAAGCTCTGGGTAATATTAACACACCAACATCATTGTCATTGAATCAGTCATTATTCAATAGATGAAATTSCAATAGTGGATTTAAATGTGTATATATTAGATATTTGCGCTTTACAATTTAATAAATTATTATTGATGATGATTATTATTACGCTGGTCAAACACAAACAGCTGAAAAATAATTGTCACTTCAGCTATTGAACAAAATATGTGGAATGTAGGCCATCCCTACTACCAAAATTTTAGTGATCTACCTAATTATGATATCTATATATTTTGAATTTTAAGGGAGCATCCATAATTTATCAATAAGTGGGGCTATAGGGATTGTGTAGTTCCAAAAATTATCCGTACCCCCATCCCCAGAGGAATTTGGAATTTTGGGGGTAGGGGTCTGGGAAAAATCCTCCATGAAAGGGGGGGGGGATGGTATGGATAATTTCTAGAACTTCACATTTTGTATTTTCTGGTGATCCCCCAAAAGCTATAAACCTTTAGTTGATACAAAACATAATGACCCTCTATCAATCCAACAGAAAGAAACAATTTAGATACTTTGTAGATTCACCTGTAGAGTTGACGGAGACCAACAAGATTTTTCTTCTAAATGGAAATGTCAGATGTTTATGATGCTTCCCCCTCTTTTTGAGTCTTTAGATCAAAAGGTATATTTTCTCGGGCTTACCCCTAAGTTTTTTTGCAGGAGAATATTGGTGCCCTCCTCAAAACCTCCATAGGCCCTCCAATAGATAAATAATGGATGCTACCTAGGTAAGTTTCATACTTTGTAGTCTTGTCATGGAATAACAATCTATGGAACCATATTTTTCCATCACTGCGTATTCTTAGCACAAACTCTGCAATTACCGTAAATCCAGCATTCCAGTCATCCTAGGTGACACATATTTAAAATAAATATCAGACTAAAAAATTCAAATTTTGACCTAGATGACAGATTGTTGGGCATATTTCTTCTTTAGATCTCGCACTAATAACTTAAGTACTAAAGTAAAACTGTAGAGTTATTCTCCAACACTGGCTGAGCTTTAAGGATGGTTAACTCCCAGTCAGGGTAGGAATGTTTCAAATTTATAATTTTCTCTTAAAGGAAATATTTCAGCATTAATAAATAAATACTGGAAATGAATTAGGAGGGGAGGGCTGGTAATCATTTGAACTTCAGTTGACTTGTAACATTATGATGYCACAGCTTGTTTACATCGGCAAGAATGATAGGAATTTATGCGACATTTTCTTTTGTTCGGGATATTTAGTACAGCATTTATCTGTTATCACCTTTCCCCGTCTAATTAACCATTTTTTATTGTGATTTAATTCGTTTTGCTGCTATTTTGCCCCCTCTGGCGACCATGATCCTTAGCGTTAAAACAATAGATTGTTTTGATGTGATGTCATAGTGTTATAGGGCAATTTGTTAAGGGTTAAACCTCTTTATTTTGAAGAAAGCTTCTCATCATCATCATCATCATCCAGACAAAAGGTGATTGCTTGTTGACTTATTTAACAGAATAGGAAGGCCCTAATTTCTAAATGAGTGAAAGGAATTGGGCAACAAGCATTTTAAAAAAGTTCACTCCGAATCTCYGAGCAATCCTCCATATGTACTTTCCATAACCTGACAATCTTGACCCCTCCCAGTGTCCTYCCACTTTTTGGTTTGAGCTTACAACAAAGCAGCAGAGCTGGAGGACTTGGTGTCACAACCATCTTTAGTGCCTGTGCTAAATGCTAACAGGGCCCACTGCAATTGGAAAAAAGCTGTTGTGGTGTCCCTGCTCCAAGGGCGGATCTAGCCAAAATTTTAGGGGGGTAATTGAGTTTCTTCCGTCAACACAATGGAAAACAAAAAAAAGAGCATCTAATTCTTCAGATTGTTTTGCTTTTTTTTCTGCTGAAGGGGGCTTTCAGCCCTTTGCCCCCCCCCCCCCCCCCCAATCCACCCTTGTGTCCTCATGGAAAGAGCTAATAAATAAATAGATATGAATCTGATTAATGCTATTTTATTAGCTTTCAAGGTGACTTTAAGAGTTTTCCTTTTATTCATGAAAAAAATAAGATCAACTTTAAAACATTTTATTGTTGAATAGATTTGGATTAATAAAATTGCTGAATTTTGTAGGTTGTGATTTATTGTCACAGGTACTTTAAGTTCAATGCATAATACTTTTTATATTTTAATAAAACTACTTATTTACATTTTACATATTTTTAAAGTGTAAAATCTTTTGTAATAAATTATCTTAATTCAGCAGATCTTAGACAACGATATATTTATTATTTTATCGTATTTATTTATTTGAATGTTTTATTTTAACTATTTATTTTAAGTGTTAATCTTTTGTTATCAATTAGTTTAATCAAGCAGATCTGAAACAATAGTATATTTATGATCTTAGGTATCATTTTTTCGTTTGCATCTAGGTGCAAACATCAGACATCAAAACTTGTTCTAACTGCCTCCTTAAACTCGTATGATAGTTAACAGTGTTTGGCATGACTGGTGTTTGCACCTAGATGCAAGAAAGTGTTTAATGTTTATAAAAAAGAATAGACCATTCCACRGATCCCGTTACTCAACCTCGGCCTCGTCAGCGTGTAATTATTCTTTAGAATTTGACTACAGTCCACAGTAATGAAAGGAATTTACACATCAACGAACAATTGAAACGATTAAAAATTTCACAGGTTGTAGAAAATTTCTAAAGAATATATTACACRCTGAYGAGGCTGAGGTTGAGTAACGGGATCCGTGAAATGGCCTATTGTACTCATGATCATACTTTATACTTCTGTTGTAATGAAATGTGCCTGGGAGTTAGGAAGGTTGCTTTCATTGGATTCTGCATTTTGTGGAATAAGCTCAGCCATTTCAGTATCCTGTGCATCATCGGGTGCTGAGTAAAATGGGGAACCTGTGGTATAGCGTTTGTCGTAAATGTCTGTGCATTAATGAGATAAATATATCAGTATACATGTATGCCTTATTTGTGCAATGAGTTATGGAACAACTTTAAGTGCTTTATAATTTMAATTTCAATATTCATTTAGTTCGTTTTTAAAGGGGCACTTGGTTGAAAATGCCCCAATTATTTTTTCAAAGTCCGAACAATTGAAGTATTTGTGGATAATTTGACTCAATTATGATTATGTAAACCAGATTARTGAAAATTTTCGCCTGGGAGCCACTTGCAGTTGAGAAATTTTGGGTTAAGAGAGAAAAGAACAATAGGGTTGAGTAAATGACGTCATTTACTCACGATTTATATGCTGCATAAAATTGATATTTTTATTTGGCACATTTTACAGTGAAGAAAATATGTTGCTTGGCTACTATTGGGGCCATACAGATACTTTTAACTAAGTTTTAAGTCATTTCCAATTTTTATCCATTTTCATCCAAGTGTCCCTTTGATGATATATCAGTCAGAGTRATTCTATTTAGAGCATGCTTCTGCAACTAGAGAATAGACCTTTCAAAAATTGTCAAAAACTTTAAGGGGCAACTGGAAATTATCAGTCTGGTAACAGTGTTATACCCTGTTCAATAACGTTATTATTACTACCAGCAAATAAAGAATGAATTCAAAACAAACRTAAGTAATTTCTGAAAGTGAAAGAGAAGACACAGAGGGAGGGGAAGAGAAGGGGAAAGAGGAAGGAAATGTATCATTCACTCTTTTTAATTATAATTTTATTACAAGATTTTTATTGCAAACAAACCTAGTCCTACTTATACCAAAACATGACTAATTCACACTAAATAGTACTGTGCCTACTAAATCTTATTTTTTTACAAAGTGTAATCTTAGATTTTATTTACAAGCATTTTTTTATTTAAAAGACTATAAATTACATACTCTAAGTTATCCACACACAGCTGATATTTTTACAGTTAGCAATAACTTCTCGGYAGGTAGATTTCAAGTAGATTAATCACTCATATTCTACAATAACTATTTAATTACCTACTAGCAAAACATATCTACATGTTGAATATTATTTTTTTCAATTTGTAAAGTACTCTTTTTCATATTATATTTTTGTAGTTATTTACATTAACTAATGAYCAAAAATATTTGGAACTGCATGTAAAAAGCTTTGATTTTAAAAGAGGATTCTAATGCGATTCTTGCCCAGATACTTAGTATTTATCAGATGTACATTTCAAAATGAACATTATCACAAGAGACCAATAATTGGTCGCAAATATTGCAAGAGACTATTATGACTGTATGCTATTTTTAAGCTATCTACCAAGCAGCTTGTTAAGCATGCAATATGCACTTGCATTTTCTTAGTACATCATCCACACACAAATGAGAAAATATACATATATGTATGTTGTTTAATATAATAATTTTTCCTAAAATTCACACTCTCAAGTTAGGTGTACAAGTACACTTTACTGTTAAAGTGCCTATCCCCCCTCTGACAATATTCACAGTATTGATTCTACATGGAGTAAGAAGTTGAATAACTTGAAACAAATTCATAGTTGGAGTGCAGCTTCTTGAGGAGGTATATATGAGGAAGTATTTATGGTTATTTGTTGTTCCTTGTAATTCAAAACACTGGCTTGTATTTGAAAACTTACTTGCAATAATTTCTATGASGGCTATGGGGAAAACAATGATATATTTCACAATGTTTTGTATTTCAAATGATTACTCCTTATACCTGGCCTCACAGCATTCGCATATGGTATGGAAAAACKTTTATAACTTCAAGAAGCGGCACTCATGCCATCCCCCCCCTGGTTATTCAACTTCTTACCCCATGTAGAATCAATGCTGTTGATACTGTTACAAGGGTGATGATATGCACTTTGAATTCCTAATCTAACTGATAATTTCAAAATCATTTATAATTTCTAAATATTTTCCTAGATACTTCGTTTTGTATACATTTTGAGAAAAATAAGTGAGAATCGAAATATATAATAAAGCTAYATATGGGTACAAAATATTAGTTCAAGTAATAACTGTAACATTATAAAGATTCGTAGTTCCTCCTACAAGAAAAATACTCGAATTTTGTTTGTTGATCATTGATCACATTACCAGGTTTTCATTAGGGATTATTGAATCTCAGAGAATTATTGCTCCATGATGAAGTGAGCGAAATTCTCCAGCTTAAACTACCATGGTGTTCTATTATTTCAAAACTTAATGAAAATCCTGATACTAGAAAGTTTAAAACTACTATCATTAGCTTATAGAAACATTCCAGACAATAGTAGCTGGTCGTAATTATTGTTATCATACTGCTTCCRTTGAAACACAACTTACAATATATATTTGTGCCAAATTGTGTTAAACCAAGGTATGTGTAATGCAACAGACGTGTTTGAACCCACRATCACAATGGTGAGAGGTGGCAGTGTTTCAGCCGCACACTTTAAACAACTGATGCTTCTGTGATTGGTTAAATGAATGATTGACAGTTCTCTGTTACAGTGTAMAAATCTTAGTTCCAGCTCTGACTGTTACATTTCATTCATTCGATACAATTGTGTTAAAGCCTTCTTGAATGGTGGGCAGGACAGAGGGGATAAAAATAGGCAAATTTTTTAATGCTACTGTTTGGTCAGTTTGAGCAGTAAAACAATTATGATAACATACAAAAATATTGAGAATTAATTTGAATTCTTTACTGTGTTACAGACTAAAGGGTTATATTAAAAAACTAAAAAAGTTATAGCAGATCTAGAACGTTGTTYGAAAAATATATCACAAATTTTCGGCTCCAGAACTGTGRGTCTTCATCAGGTATGTAAATCAAGTTCACRTTTTGATAATATTCACACTCTTAGTTAGCAAAACTCAAACTTSATTTCATTAACATTTACCTGACGAAGAGTCACAGTTCTGCAGTCATTTTGTATGATCACAGATTGCTCGAATACCAAAAAGATACATTTATCAAGCKACAAAAAGTAGAAGTTTAAAAAGTTATCATGATTAATTCTAGACTTCCGACTTTTTAACCAAGAAATAAAATTCAGAAGTACTGTATTGTGTTAATAAGTCCACTGGATGTAAAATTTAAGTTTATCGATATTTGGGAAAAAAGTGCTTTAAAGCTTAAAAAGTGGGTCAAAAGGCATGTGGCAATAATTCACACAGTRAACCTAGTTTTCTGATTCAATGTTTATAACATGGAGATAGAACAGTTTACCATTTGATTAAAAAAATACCTTAAAGGTACTAGTTTATTAATTTTTCTACAAATAAAAACAATCGAAAACAGGAAATTATCAGTACCACAATTTAAGAAAACAAACATCTAAATTACAACACTTCGAAAGAGAATCATACTGTTTACAAAAARAAACCTTCATCAATAATTGTTTTCTGATCAGTCTAATGAGCCAATATAAAATAATACTTCTAGCTAAATACTAGTCAAAATGACAAAATCCTAACTGTTCATTTACTAGCATAAGTTCTGAGCATCGGTCAAGATGCCGCAAGGTCAAGGTGATGGAACCAACTTGTAATTACTACCTCTACAATACAGCTAGCTACGTTTTTTTGAACCCTAAATCTGTCAAATAAGCTGTGTTTTTTTAATCAAGGGCGTGGCGAGGCACAAGGGTGGGATAGGGACTAATAACAATTGCTTATTCTAATCTGGGGTGTGGTCAGGCACAAGCAGCATGGTAGAAGAAGTCATGAAAATGTTAGTAATATTGATTCCAAATCAGATCGACAGCCAAACCCCTAYCACCGTAACAATCCCTCTATTCAATATACACTACTATAAGTGTATACCAGACAAAGTCCCAAGAACTAGAGGTACAACTGAGTGCTAACTTGATAGGGTCATATGTGCCCCTCCTGGTATTCCTTGGCCACACCCCTTCTGCCTGCTTGGAATCTACACCTTTTATWGGTAGTGTGCAGCAAGAATCTTTTAACTACATACAATAATCATACTAAATAGGATGCACCCCATGCTACATTAAATATTACTATTTTTAAAGACTATCATACTATTTTTTTTAGCTTAACCAAAAACCAAAAAGAAAACATATATCAAAAGACAAAATAAAGAATGAATGTCAGCCATGGTTATAGTGAATTAAGAGAGCACTATCAAACAGTAAAGGACAGCATAGATAAAAAAAGTAGAAACAAGAATAAGTTTGTTACTACAGGTATAACAAAATTAGCTATGTTACCAAGAATGCAGAATAATTAGGGTTACAGAAAAAGCGACCCATTCAGCTATGCTTTTGAAACTATTCCATTTCAGGACACTTTTCTTTTCCTTTTCTATTATTCTTGTTTTTGTTTTGTTTCATGATTACCAATATTAATTATTTCTAACAATAATGCTGCAAATATTTAAGTTTACAGCTATATCTTTCGATGGAGTAGTTTAATGGCAGCCATGTTATTAGGCAAAAATATATTAAATGTTCACTTTGGAGAAATGAAATATCTAGCCCTCAACCATGGCCTCCATCCAACTAAGTACTCTTACCTTTCTCGATTTTTCCTTACCAAAATAAAYCATGACGAATTACTTACGCACTAGTTGAATGGGTCAATGAGTAGAAGATCAGAAAGAGTCGGCTTTAGTAATTAGATAACTAGACTATGATCTCCAAATCTTTGATGATTATTAGGACGCAGTCTACTCTCACCCTTTTTTGGTTTACGAGGCTTCTTTGCTGTCTTCAGGAATTGTACCAACAGTCCAATTAATGTCAGAAGAGGCCACAAACCGAGTATAATCCAAGAGACCAGGCAGGGCTTTCCATACACCGTCACCAAGAAGATTTTCTGAATAGAGTAGTTTAGAAGCCATAAGTCCTCAATGAAGTAATCGGCTCCACCCATTATCATTGCGGCACCAAAGACACTTGACGTGATGATAAGACATCTCTTCCACCAAACCGAAATACCAGCCAGAATAACAGAAACAGAAACCACCACCCCTATGGGTATAGATATAGTCTTATAACCCTCAAATAATGAGGAAAATCCTAAGAGAAATGCCATGCTTATGCAGAAACCTGCTGCAATTCCAGATGAGAAGAGTCCACAGAACACAACAGTTGTACAGAGAATACCAACAAAGATAGCGATGGCGACAGTAATTAACAAAATGTACTGTAATTGAAGGGTGCTTTTCTCAATGCAGATGTAATATGTTATTAAGGCTCCACCAGAGAAGCCAATAAGGAAGAGGGTTGTTCGCAAATACTTAAAACCTGAAGAAAAAAGAAAGTCATAATATAATTGAACATTGGATGTATTGATTTAAGGAATATAAAATGGGCRYAAATGTYTCTATACTGTGATATAAACACACTGGGAGCTGTAGAGCAAAAGAGAAGGAAGCTTAGGAACATGAGGCATAACTGAGTGCTTCCCTTGCTTCTCGAGTGYTCTACTGCTCTCAGTGTTTATATCACAGTACAGAGAGATAACCAGCCGTTTTATAATGCTTTTATAAAATATTTTTGAACATTTTTGMGCGAGCATGTCTATGTCCTCTGACAAACACTGTAACCAAAGCGTGCGAGTTACATATCACATATTTCATAAATCCCCTTAAAAATATGCCTCCCTTGTTGTTGTTCTGGTTAGAAAATGGGAAAAATAATGGGAAAAATCAGGACTTAAAACAATGGTTAGACAAGAACTGGGACTTGTTGGGTCAAATCTTTGCCTTGCYGATCATAAATACTGGTAACTTTCAGCCAGAAATAARGTGTACCTAAGCTAAAACTAATTTAGCCTGTGATCATGACCATGGCGAATGATCGGCCATTATTTAAAGCAATGAAAAATAAAATATCTATAGCAGTAGTGGGAATAAATAGGCTGTATGCATCATTAATTGGATTGAAACCTTAGAATTTAACAGGAATGCACAAACATATAATCCTATGGCATTCAGTAATTAATTTTTACTGTAAGCAGCTTAGATTTAAATTTCATCATTAACAAAACACTAAAAACCTCATCAGAAWGTGTGGAGTTGCAAATTAATCTTTCAAGTCAATACAGGAAGTTAAAGAGTGAGACCTGTCGTCTGAGGACTATTGACAGATGTATGTCAAACTCCTCCCTCTTAATGACCGTGCCATTTGTGTTGACAACGAAACAGCTTGTTTTGAGGGTRGTAATCTCAATATTACAATACTCTATGAAAGCGCCTGAATACTAAAATGTAATTTTGTTGTTTTAATAAGATGAGTAGTTACAGGAACAATAAAATCCATCGAAAAAAAAAAGGCTTTAAGTATTAAGAGGTTGATAACTTTTTTTGCTAGATATTTGTTTTTGCCCATGTGTGTTYTTTTGAGAATCAGATATATCTAAAAATCTTAGATAATACAGAAACGCGATATTTTATAGCTTTTAGTTTTTCTACGATTCATAATTTTAAGAAGCCATTGATCGACAACCTAAATGGTGTCGACAGAAACACAATTCAAAATCAGTCTGAATGTAATAAATCTTTCCCGTTCTTTAAGGTTGGTAAAATTTACGTCTAAAATTTACTTGATATAAAAATTCTAGACATAACATTTTGAGCTCAAGATGGAGGACTTACCAACAAAAAGTACGAATCCACCAACAATGACTGACAAAGCACAAGCAATCCCTGTTCCATAGGTAATAGGGAACTTTAAGTCCTCCCATTTGCAGCTAAACACGGTTTTATTTGGTGAGAGTGTAGTATAAGGAGGAGTTGTGGTTGTGTTGTTGTCCGACGAAGAGACGGTGGTTGGGAAATTCGAAAAGACGACACTCGAACAAAGCAAAACTCGCGAGATCCAAAAGGACCATTTAAGGGTTCGTTCACTGGACATCAAGCCTCTAATTATCTGCGGATAAAACACTATGTTTAGAACATATAACTCATAATAAAGAAAATATGAACACAAAACTAGTGGATAGGCTTAATACATTGGTTCGTTCAGCCTTCGATTCTCTCGTTGAAACCAGAAGTATAAAAACAAGTAGAGAATTAACGATCGACGTCAATGACCTGTTCGATCCAAAGCAATTTTTAGGTCAGATATACTTTACAGCAGCTTAGGAACTCAACAGAATCGTATCTCCATTCTTACAGCAGCTTTTTTAACGAGTCCTATTTTAACAGCAGTGTTGAATATGAATTATATATGCAAGAAATAATCTGATGACGTAATATAATGGTCCTCAAATCAGGCGTCACGTCCGGTTCATCTCAGTTGCGCCTAAGCCAAATTTCTTGTTCTGTTTTCTTCTTTTTTGTTTGTTTTCGTTTTGCTTTATTCGTTTACTTTTCTTAACCCCTTACACATTGCTCATAAAACTATTATTTGCATCGTATATCTCTGAATTTTAAAGAAATTCTAAAGAAATTCAGAACAAGAACTGGAAGTTTTCAATGATAAGGCATTATTTACATTGTCCTTCTTCTAAAGTATTTCACTAGCACTTCTACTGCAGCATCTGCACTAGCACAGGGAGGGAGGATGAGGGGGTGGCTAGGGGCACTCGTGCAGTCCCAAAAGCTTGCTTAACGACAACAAAATTTGATTAATTCATGCAGGATTCCTGTGAATCGGGCAGAAAAATGGTACTTTGTCCCTCCCTCCCTCCCTTCCCCCTCTCCCTCCCCCCC